CATTCCTACATGGGAAAGCTTCTGGCCAACCTGAAAATCTGTCTACTACCACCAACAACTTATCTCCTTCTTTTGATTTAGGGAGATGTGTAAAATCTATCTGTAGATGTGTGAATGGTGCCTCAGGGGGTGTTAAATGTTCATGTTTCCCATGCTGGCCATGCCCAGGGTTGTTTTGTAAACAAGTAAGGCACCTTCCCAATGTTTCCTCCACCAAATCATGGAGAAACCATACACAAAATCGTTTGCGCATTTCTTTCTCCACTAACTATTTTCCCTTATGACCTACACCATGAAAATTTTGAATGAATAATACAGCAGCTGCCTGTGGAAGTCCTACAATCCCCTCTTTTGACATAAGACCATGTTTGTCTTGTGTCAAACCTCTGCTAGCCCAAAAATCAACTTCACTCTCAGAGGCTTGTGCCTGCAGTGTACCTAAAAGCTCATTTGACAGTAGGGATGGAGTGGACAACATTACCATAGATAGATCTGCTCGATTATGCAGTTGCCCTGCAGTTTTTTCAGCTGCATCTGCCATAGCATTGCCTTTTGTGACTGGGTCTTTGGCATTAGTATGTGCCCGCACTTTAATGACCGCTATCCTTCTTGGAAGTTGGAGTGCAGCAAGCAAATCCTGGATCAAAGAATGATGGGATATTGACTTGCCATCGGCCGTAGTAAAACCACGGCGTTGCCAAATACGGCCAAAATCATGTACAACCCCAAAGACATATTTAGAATCTGTGTATATGTTAACATCTCGATCTTGATAAAGAGTGCAAGCTCGTGTTAGGGCCACTAATTCAGCTGCTTGTGCACTGGGGTAGGGGATGGAACCTGTTTCAATAATAAGAGGTGGTTCTACTACTGCATAGCCTGTGATGTATGTAGCATCACTAGGGCGTGTACAAGATCCATCGACAAACACATCAGGGGCTCCAGGAATCGGAGTCTCCAACATATCTAGTCGCGGAGAAGTGTCAGCTTGGATAACATCCAGGGCAATTGTCCTCCTGCAATTCTGGTGACCTTGTGTTGTGAAGATTAAGCAGGGAGGACAATAAAAGAGATGGTCCTGATGTAGATGGGCTGTATTTAACTGTGAGATTATTGGTGGATGTCAAAATTACTTCACATCCCGCCAGGCGTTGTGCTGACATGTGTTGAGTGTTAATGTTTTTCAGTACATGTAGGACATGATGAGATGTGTGTAATATCAATGGGTTTCCCAAAACTATGATAGATGCCATTTCCACAGCCAAGGCACACACAGACAAAGCTTGGAGACACCCCGGCATGCCCTGGACCGGGATGGGCATTGTTTTTGATAAATATGCTACCGGCCTCATGGCACCTCCGTGCTCTTGAGCTAGTACTGCAGCCATGGTTTTACATGCAGATTGACAATACAAATGAAAAGATTTAGTATAATCCGGTAACCCTAATGCGGGAGACGAGACCAGTGCTGTCTTCAAATATTCAAATGCCTGCACCAATGGCAGCGTCCATTCAATACGGTCTGGCTGATCTTTCAGTGTCACTTGACGTAATACATTGTCATAATAAGAACAGTCAGGAATCCACTGTCTACAATAGTTTACCATACCTAGGAAGGATTGCATCTGAACCTTAGTTTCTGGTTTTGGTTGTTGACATATTGCTGCCACTCTCCTTGGGCTCAGCCCCCTCTGGCCCTCAGACAATACAAATCCTAGGTACTCAACTTGTGGTGCCACAAACTGCATCTTTTTGCGAGAGACTTTCTGTCCCTGATCAGCCAGAAACCGTAACAATGATAATGAATCAGCCTGACACGCCTTCTCGCTCACAGAACTAATCAGTAAATCATCCACGTATTGGATAAGTACTGAACCATGGGTGGGTACCCAGTCATTGAGCATGGATCTACTGGCCATGGTATATGCTGCCAGCGAGTCTACATAGCCCTGAGAGAGATGGGTCCAGGTTAGCCTCTCCCCTTGAAAACAAAAAGTAAACAATACCTGTGTCTCCGGGTCAACTGGGACACTAAAAAATGCATTTGACAGATCAATTACTGTAAAATGTGTGGCGTTGGCAGGTATAGCATTTACCAAAGTTGTTATATCTGGGACTACAGGGGCAATAGAATGACCAGATCGTTAATCGCCCTGAGATCTTGTACTAATCTCCACTCACCATTGGGCTTTTTTACCGGATTAATGGGAGTATTGTAGGGGGATACTACCAGCTTCAGTATTCCCCTCCTTTTAAAATCCTCCACAATAGGTTTAAGTCCGTCTATTTTTTCTTTGGACAGTGGGTATTGTTTATGATAAACAGGGTTCCTGGTTTTAAGGGTGGCTTTATACGGTGTGCAGTCAATGAGGCCTGCATCCGTTGGGTTCTTAGTCCATAGGTTTTCAGGGAGCTTATTTAAATCATGATCCATAGCTGGACAGATTAAGAAAGGTGTGTCCAATAGCATACCTTCCTCCGTGATAGACATCACGACTTTAAGGTCAGCTAACAAATCTCGGCCCAATAGGGACACAGGACAATGCGGGAGCACATGAAATTTATGATACCAGACCTGTCCATCTTTTGCTTGTACCGGGAGGGGAGGTGTAATGCAAGTAGGGATTTCCTTGGATTAGGGCATCCCTGTACTATAGCATCCAGCTCCTTGGGATCTATTGCCTTTAAAATCAGCTGCTCCCCAATCATCATGAATGGAAAGGCTGAATTCATCATATCTAGCTCAGCTGTCTCATCTTTAACTTCCCCCTGTTACTTTCTGCTGACCTAAGAATTCTATCACTCTTTTCTACCTTCTTTGTCTTCCTCTTTACTTTCCCTTTACCCCTCTCAGTATCCCTTTGACTAACACTCCCAGTTTCCCCATCTGAGCTAGATTCTTCTGACTCCCCTGTATATATATCTGGGAAGCAGCAATAAGAACCTCTTCATCTTCATCTACTTGTTTTACCTGTGGGAGTGCTGGGTATAATGGGGCTGCATGTGGAGCTGTAGGGGCAGGACGTGCCTCGCTGTGTTTGTATGGCGGTGGTGGTGTGAAATCATTTGCTACAATTAGAGTCTTATAGCCTGGTGCATACTTCAACCAATTCTTACCCCCTTCATACATATAATTCTTGTCCCAATCTGGATTTCCAGTCCCCCAGATACCTACCTGAGGCTGTTCATGCAAACACATTCCTCTAATCATATCCATACACATAGTGTCATTTCCCCCTTCACAAGGAAAACTAGCTCCACCCAGTCTTTTTGACCATCCCACTAAATTATCCACCCAGGGAATAAACATAATAAATATCATAAGGGGATACCCTTGCTACATATTCTTTACAAGTTTCATTTAAGGTAGATGTGTTCTTTCCCCTCAGCTTTCTAGTTTTTCTAAACAACTTAATCAACTTTTGTGGCGGCACATGACGAGGTCCTTCCTCCTTACCTGAGGAATTACCCATAGCAGTAAATTAGTAAACTAACAAAAACAAGACAAAAAAACAACAATAACACACTTTTTACAAATTATACAAAGTGCTGTGCCAGGTGTGTCCTGGTATCATTCCCCGAGCCGAGAATCCCTTAGTCTCGCTCCTAAAACTCCAACCACCAAATTTCCCTGAAGTTCAGAATAATTACCTCGGTAAAGAAAGCATTAAAAAATAAAACGCTCACTTACCTTGGCAATTATCCCACTTCTGACACCACTGAAAGTAGGTAGGTGGTCTTTTTCCTTTTCCTTGGGGGCCCCCTCAAGATACCAACGGTCACACCTGGACACAGCTACGAGATCTCGGAAAGTGAATGCACTCAAATCACCTCAGTTGCGATTGCAAACACTTCAGTTTTATTGGCATAACATCAGGGTTATTATACTGTAGTCTTTAGGCAAACACACCCTCAGACCTTCCAATCAAATACATGTACATTATTTTACCTTAACTCAACAATTATTTGTATGAGGTTTGCATTTTTACTCTTCTGCTTTATCTATCATACCATATCTCCTCTAAAGCCCAGACCATGGCTTTAATCTGACCTAACACCCAAGTTGTGGTTAAAACTTTCCAGAAGTGAGAGTAAACCTTATCTGCTTTTTTGTAAGGGTTTGCAAAAACACTCATTTCTACATGAAGCTGACATAGACAGTTTTGTTAGTGTGCACATATCTCATATATGTATATTAAACTAGCATCTTGTATTAGTGTATACAAAATGGATTCAGCTATATTCCACTTAATCCTTTCAGTCCCCTCTTTTATCACATAGTGATAACACTTTATTGATTTACTCTCCCTATCGTCTCAATCCCATGCATTTCCTCATATTGTTGAAGCAAAAACATTTCCTCCCTTTCCTTCTCATTAATTCTCATTTTGATACACATGATCATTCAGTTGTGATGAGGTAACCCCTCACCCATCCTGAACTCCCAGAGGGTTTCTGAACCACTGGCTCCTTTCTATCATATGAAATCTCCAATAGAAACCATAGTGGGACGATGATAATAGTCACTATTGATAAGATAATAATCAAGTTCATCCAGTCCTCATGGGGATCCAATAGGTTGGATAGCAATGTTCTTGGCTCCTTCTTCTGTTGGTTGATCAGCTTGATTGTGTCTCTCATCTTGGGAAATCCTTTTTACTCTTGATGCATGGATCCAGGTGCCTGATCCTTCAGTAAGAACAGCTGTACGTGTAATGGCCACGATCACTGTAGGTTCTCCAAACCGGGGTCTCACCCTTGGATCCAGTCTTCGGATCACCACTTGATCACCTACCTCGAAGGGGTGGGTTGGTTGATCTGCAGATAAAAGAAAAAAAACAGCAGCATCATTTTGTTCGCTATTCAACTTTTCACACAAACTAGCATCTTGTATTAGTGTATACAAAATGGATTCAGCTATATTCCACTTAATCCTTTCAGTACCCATATGGGATTTTTATCATTTTTTTGAGACAGATAGAGCTTTCTTTTGGTGGTATTTAATCACCTCTGGGATTTTTATTTTTTCTTAAACAAACCAAAAAAACCACTGAAAATTTTGAAAAAAGTTTTTTCTTAGTTTTTGTTATACAATTTTGTAAATAAGTGATTTTTCTCCTTCATTGATGTGCGCTAACGAGGCTGCAGTGATGGGCACTGATAGGCTGCACTGATAGGTGGCACTGATGAGGAGGCACTGGTAGGTTGCACTGATGGCTGATGGGCATTGACAGGCATCACTGATGGGCACTGAAAGGCAGCACTAATGCGCACTGATAGGTGGCACTGATTGGCATTGATAGGTGGCACTGATGGGTGACATTGAAAGGCAGTGCAGATGGGCACTGATATGTGGCATTGATGTGCACTGGTATGCACTGATATGTGGCATTGATGTGGCACTGATGAGCACTGACTGCTGGCACTGATGGACACTGACAGGTGGCACGTCTGGGGCCACACTGATCATCAGGGTACACTGATCATCAGTGCCGTGATGATCAGTGTACATGTCCCCTTCGCAGAAAGCCGATTACCGGCTCTCCTCTCCTCTCGAGCTGTCAGCATGACAGCTCGAGAGGAGAGAAATGCCAATAACCGGCATTTCCGTGTTTACATGTGATCAGCTGTGATTGGACACAGCTGATCACATGACCGAGCTGACATCTTCGGCTCTTTCCGTGATCCGCTGTGTCCGAGGGACACAGCGCACCGGCGATCGCCGCGCTGCGTGCTCCCTGAGCTTCACATGCGCGGTGAGAATGGAAGGACGTCATATGACGTCCTATCAGAATGAGAGAACCACCTTGCACCCGTCATTGTACTATATGGCGGGCAAAAGGTGGTTAATATAAGTACAGACACTCCATGCAGCATGATGTAACTCCTTGAGCAGCAGCAAGTGAAATCAAAGCATCTCAAATGCAAGGGAATCCATTCCAAAGTACCTGAAAGCATACCACACCAGTCTGCAGATTGTTGCCTATGTTTATGAGCACTAAATAATGGTCACTGTTGTATGCCAGTCGGTACACTCAGAGGTTCAGGGTACAAAAGCAGCTCAATTCCAAATCATAGAAATAATGAAAAGAATCTCTAAAGAGGTAGGTCTATATAAGTTATAATGGCTGATAAAGTTATAAAAATGCACTGTTGCTAATCACCCTGGTGTGCTCATAACATAAATAAAAGTGAAAGGGCATGATGTCTATGCCATCTGCATATGGTTCATTTTCTTGATAACATCTGTGAAATTTACTATGAAAGATACTGCTGACCTTCACAAAAACATTTCTGCTCACCTCAGTTGGAAAGTCTGACTGTTAAATTAGTTTTTTTTTTTTTTCAAAAGATGCAGCTAAATCTGTTCTCCAATCTTCTGTGAAATAAATACATCAGCAGCTACAAAAACTGTAGCTGCTGACTTTTAAAAAACAGCCACTCAACTGTCCCTGTGTGCTCACCCCAGCCAGGGTTCACTGTACGGCCATCCTATGCCCCTGGTACTGGCATCTTAACTATGGGCATCTGCTTGATAGCTTGCGGCTTCACAGCCGGGTGCCCACTGCGCATGCGCAAGCAGTGCTGCGCATTGTGAATGGTCCTGCAGACCTGTTACATGTCCTAGAAGACTGTGGGGAGGGGTGGAGGAGAACTTCCGTTTGCCTAGGTGGTTGGAGAGAGTACCTGTCAAATTTGGGTAGTTCTAACTTCAAAACGTCAGCTGTAAATTATCATGAGACAAATGATTTCCAAGTAGTATTAGGAAGTTCAATATCAGGGTATCAATGTGTTTTTTTTATCAAAACTCAAAACAATATAGGTTTTTTGTTGATCCCAAAGATAGTAGTAAATCAACAAAAAGTGGATCAAGAATGTGTGACTTTTAGAATGGCAAAGTTGTAGTCCTGACCGCAAACACAGTGAAATGTTGAAGGCATAGTTTAAATCCTAAAAACATACAGAAACTGGAAGTGTTGTAAACAGAATTTGGCAAAAATACTTTCTAAGCTCTGTGCAGTTGTGATCAGCAGCTTCAGAACACATTTGCTAAAGCCCCGTAAATACAATGACAATATCAAACGAATGATCGTCCCTTTTTTTTTTTTTTCTGTATGCTAGTCTCATATCAAAAGTGAAGAGGTTACTAAAGCTACAAAGCTACATTCTTGTACAACAATAAAAATTCGAAAGTGATGTAATGTATTTTTGGACGAAAGCTGTACTGATTAAATGGAAATCGTGTGATCTGGTATCGTACAAGCATTTTTCGTGCTTGTCCCTTTGGATAATTTTGGATGAAAGCTGTGTACTAACAATTAGATTATTGTACGATCGCTACGAAAGTGGTATCTTGTTGTACGATATTCTGATCGTGTGTACCAGGCTTTAAGGCTATTGCCAATTACAGATGTTTCAGGTAAATATAAATAATAAATGTTACATTTTATTAGCCATTTTCATGGAAATCCACAAAAAACAGCTCACACATTTCCTTTCTTACAACAATATACATTTCTACTAGTGACAAAAATGCGTGCTTGTCACAATAGATGAGATCAGATTGAAGGGTATATCATACATTGTACAAAAAATGTATACAGTGCTGGAAAGTAAAAAATATTTTAGTTGTGATTAAATTAACCACTTCTTGCCCATCTGCCTGCAATGTACTGCAGACGGGCGGCAGCTAAAGGCAAGGCTATGTGATCACATGATCACAATGTCAGTAAAGTCAAAATCAATCTGATTCATAAAAGCTCTACTTCTTAGTGAGCTGTGATGGGCCCGCGGCTCTCACATGGTACATGGGCCAATCACAGCACCCTGTACCATGTGATCAGCTGTAGCCAAACACCGATCACTGGTATTTTGAACTGCCATGAACTTAACCCATTCATGACAGTTCAAAGCAAGCATTGCAATAGTCTTGATTACTCCTGCAAAGCATAATGTAAAAAAAAAAAAAAATCCCTGATTCCACCCTCCCCAGAGTAGTACAATGTTACTATGGTAACATTTCACTACTGTGATGAAAGTATTTAAAAAATAAAAAAAATTAACATGTGCTTTTTCTGAACTGTGCAGGCGAGCAGCGGCTCTGGGCAAAGTGACGTACCCTTACGTTGCTTTCTATTTCCAGGTGTGAGCGCACATGTCAGTCCAAGGAGAAAAGAGATAACACCATGCTGTGAGTAAAAGCATTACATTTTACACACTCCCGTTAGATTAGCACATTTAACCCTTTGATCACCCCTATTAACCCTTTGATCAACTTGTTACCCAGACAATTCCATTAGTACATGTCAGTATATAGAATTTTTAAAATAAAACAAACTAAGATATCCCAACTAGTGTACACAAATATCAATAAACAGTGTTGCGCTCAAATGTGAAAACAACCATATATCAAATAAACAATGTAACATTCAATTATAAAAACAGTGATGGATCAAATTAGCAAAAAGTCCCATTCAAAATGTGCAAAATCAAAGGGCCACACTTCTCCAATATTTGTATCCAAAGTGCTACCAACACCAACTAGGACACCCAAGGTGATATAAGGATGGTTCCTTACAGGGGCGACGTTTGGTTGCCCTGAAAGATGTCTTTTGATGATGAAATGCTTTGGGTGGAGCCTCCTGCTGATGTCCTAGCATTCTACCATGTTGTAAGAACTCTGATGCCAGTCCATTTTTTTCGTTTACATGCGCATGTACTTTTCTACAACGTGAGTGCAATACTTTGGTTATAATGGAGTTTTAAAAGGTTTTTACACTATGGAGAGGCCTTCTCTTTTTTATACCTTGCATAAAAGTGATGGAGTTCCTGGTTCCCATTGAAACGGTCACTGCAGGGGGTGAAATGCCTTGAAACATCATACAAGCACATTTAGACCATTTTTTATTAAGATGGTCATGGAGAGTTGGTAAGGGACCAGCCTTATATCACCTTGGGTGCCCTGGTTGGTGTTGGTAGTACTTTGGATACAATTATTGGAAAAGAAGTGTGGCCCTTGGATTTTGCACATCTTGGATGGGACTTTTCTTGTTTCTTTTGCTAATTTGATCCATTGCTGTTTTTATAATTGAATATTACATTGTTTATTTGATATAGAATTTTTCAATGATCACTGTATTTCTGAAACTAGCGACATCAGATAGTGTCAGGGTCAGTTATCACCCCTCCCAGCCAGGGTTTGCTAGTGTTAGATTGCCCGCACACTATTGCACTCATGCTATAGGTCGCTGATCACTGCCATTACTAGTATAGTGTACACATCAATATATTGATCACTAACAGAACCATACTAGTGTCCCCTTAGTATAGTGTCCCCAAAAATGCAGTGTTAGAAGGATCACCTCCATTCGCTGCCAGCACTAGCGTTTAGCCCCTCTGCTGTTTTTCACTGAAGATTTGTATCGATTGTGGGCCAAAGCAATTTATACGCACAACAATACATCGCCGCCCACAAAAATTCAGCTCTTGCCAAACAATTTGAATGGAAACCTATCACGTTTTCCTAAATTAAAACTTTTTTGGGGCTTAACCCTCAGCATGGGCATTACGAAAAAGAATGAATTGCCGTCTTATTGGTCCACAGACCCAATTCATCATATGAACATGTTCTCTGCTGTTACACATATGCGCAACAAGGACCAGCAACGTACTGGTATGTGGCTGCCTTTGAGTGATTCTATCAGGATGATGCCTGCAGGCATCATCCTGGTATAATTTTTCTCGGCTGGCGGTTGGCTTTCATGCAAAAGCAGTCCTAGCCATTAAGTGGTGGATTGCTTTTACAAGCAGCGCCTCCCGCCGCCTGTCAAAGCTTTCTTGGGCTCTCCTGTGCCAACGGGGAACCGGAGAATGCGTCCAGTGGTTTTGCCGGCTGACCATAGAGCTGATCGAAGACTGGAATGGCTCCAACCATATCTATGGTCTAGGAAACCAGAAGGAAGAAGCATTTCACCATTTTGGTATAAACAGCACCGTTTTAAAATTGGGAAAGCATCTGATCACACTGTTCATGGTGTGATCAGATGCTTTAAGAGCAGAGAAGAGATCTAGAGACCCTAGATTTCTCAGAAAAGAGTACCTGTCACTGCCTATTGTTATCACAAGGGATATTTACATTCCCTGTGATAACAATAAAAGTGATTAAAATAATTAAAGGGGTAGTGTAAAAATAAAAAACACAATTTAAGTAATAAAAAAAAAATCACCCCTGCCCACCTGTCCTCACGCGTAAAGATAACTGGAAGCATCAATCCCGAGTCTGTATGTAAACAGAGATTGCACAATGCATGTGAGGTGTCATCAGATTGAGGGCAATAATTCTAGCACTAGACCTCCTGTGTAAATCTAAAGTGGTAACTCGTAAAGGCTTTTAAAACGTCGCCTATGGATATTAAAAATGTATGTAGTTTGTCTTTGTTGCGT